TAACACACCAATATAATATATAGGCTTTGACCAGTGCTCTCAAGAGGTTTCCCCTAGCATTTTCCCATTGGTGTAAAGAGAGAGTAAGAAATATGGATGTTACAGGTTAATCATAGGATTGAAAGTAATTTTGACAATACTAATCGTGAGTAGTTTTCATAGTAAATTTTACCATAAAGATATATGAAGAAGGTGCTATTTATAATTTCACTAAAATGAGAGGTGGAAAATTGACCTCATGGTTACACTTTTAGCATGCAGGGAGAAACGAACTACTTTCTGGATGCTCTGCCATAGACACTGGTAAAATGCAAGTCTGGATGATTAACAGAAGCTAATTTTCAGGGAAATAGCCAATTTTAGGTAATGCAGGGAAACCGCCATTTTTTAGTAAATGTCAGCTGTAGTATCACCATTGAGAAGTGCCTCTAATGACAGACCATTTAGTAAGCTTCAAGTTTTATTAGTTTTCACAAGTATCCGGTATGATTAGCATTTAAACATGATTCACAACTTGTAAGCTGGCAAAGAAAGACATGGTTTTGCTAGCCGGTGGAATAAACTGAAATTCTCTGGATTTGTGTATCTTTTGATTAATGTGTCGATAGTAATACCTGCGTGGGCCTCAGTGAATTAGTGAATATGTCTTTATGGTAAAATTTACCTGCAATATGTTTTAAAACAATACATATATAAGTGATTAGAGTATAAAGAAATGCAACAGAAATATTAACACAAATTTCAAAGTTATGATTACATTTGAGTAATTAAGAAAGAAGAATATGAAGTCAACAAGAGGCTCCTAAGGTATACAATGTTATATCCCTTAAACTGAGTGATGAGTTTAAATCGTTTGGTTTTATAATTCATCTTTAAATTCTACTTAAACATTATGGAAATTCTATTTTATAAACTGTGCTCTCTATGAGCTCTATATTCCACAGTATAAAAAGTAATCCTGAACTGACGTCCTCATAGGCCTAGTTAGCCGAAATGGTTTTACCTGGCTGCCCCCAAACCTGTCATTGCCAAAGGGGTATTGAATTTCTGTGTGTTGCGATGGCCAAAGCCAATGTGGTGATTATTAAGTTCTTTTCTTTATAGTCTGTTTTCTGGTGCTAGGCTGGCGTTCTGGAAATATTTCTGTGTTTCCAGTTCTCTTCCTGTTGGTCACCGATAGTATAGAACACTAAAGGAGAATCAGAAAGCAGAAGAAAAAGGGCTATAAACTTCCTGTTCTATATCCTTCTTCTGGTAGCACTTCCAGGCAGTGGTTCTCTCACTGACATTTGGTTCAGTTTGCAGTCCTTTTCTACAGTTCTAGAGTAGTGACAGACTTAGTGACCCTGGATTGTGTTCCTTTCTCTGAGATCTGAGTTCACCTCTATTCCTACCTTTTAAATTTACATAACTTTTTGTTGTTAATCATCTACACTTTTTTATTAGTATGTGTGTAGCATATAATAATTATATTCATCTTGGGGAATTCGTGCACAAACCAAAATTTTAAACTCTTTCTTTTGCAAAAAACAAAAACAAAAATCTGGGTGCAGAAGCTTCCTGCATTTTTATCATCATTACCTCATTACCCTTCTTTCCTTGCAGTCTACCAATTCCTTCCAATTAACCAATTCTCTGTATTAAGGGTCCTCTCTTTAAATAGTTATAGTAGTTTTACTGATGACCCTGATTTTGTGTCCTTCACATTAGTTTTCCCCTTCCATCACATCAAAGATATGGATAGCCTCAAAAAGAAATACATGTGGGATGTGCCAACATTTAAATATTTTTTGTACAAGTAGCTTTTTATAATAACAGCAAGCCTTAGACCAAGTTTTGCCACATATTTTGACATTTATTAGCCAGCAGGAACAAAAGTATGCTGGCAATCAATTCTGGAACTCAGTGAAGTTCCAGTTCCTGGCTTTTTAAATGCCGAGAAAAATACTTTTAGGACAAGTTCCATGGAGGCAGACCCTAATTATTGTAGTAACCGGTTCCGTTCACCTTCTAGTCATGTCAGAGAATCCTCCTCAAGTGTTTTTGTATGGTTTTTAAGTTTAGATTAGGACTAAGTCTCAGTTCTAAGGACTACAGGCTATTGACCTCATTAGATTTTTATACACTTTCCATAAAATGATGAAAAGGTCAACCCACTACTACTTATTAGAGTTATAGTATAGACACTTTTAGCAGATAATCTGGAGTATTGGTATCTGAATACTTTCAGCTGCTATCTATCCATATCTGGATTAAGGTGTTCCAACTAACAGCTCTTCAGAGAATATGAAGTATATGAAGATACATAACACCTAACATGGTTCTTTCACTCCATCTATATTAATTATCTGAAATAAAGAATCATCTTTATTTAGAAATTTGCAAATCTACTTCAATGATAGCAAAAGGATGGATTTTAATTAAATTGATCAAAGCCATCTGAAGGAATATAAACATTTAAATAATAAACACCAAAGAAAACAATGCAAAGACTCAGAGAAATTCTTAAAACTTAAATCAGTAGAAAAGATGTTTGTGAGAAACAGGCACTTTGAAAATGCAAGAAGTAGACTTACCAGCTAAGCAAAACCTGAAAGATTGAACTTAAGAGACGAAAGAACTGCATCGAACTTCCATGAAGGATATCATTAAAAGGTGCCAAAGGATCTTTGCTCTGATTTTGCATACATCAGGAATAGATGTCCTGATGGTGCTTTGTTAGCTTAGATATGTAGAGCTCGTGAGTTTCATAAAAGTGCTTAAGAATAAAATGCTTTAAGGAAGCCTGAAGAGGATTTAAAAATACTCTTAAAGATGAAGTTTTGTGTTTCTAGAATCCAACTGAAAAGAAAAATTTCTTAAACCCAAACTTTAAAATTAATTAATGGATCTGAGAACATTAAGTTTAATAGTTTTCAGCCCCGTGTTTCTGCTCTTTCCTTCACAGGCCAGTGTAAGAATAACCTTCCCTTCAGTCACATTTATAAAGGCAGAAGGGCCAGAGATTTAGCTCAGTGGTTTTGCAGCCTGCTGCACAAGCTCAAGGACCCGAGTTCAATCCCCGGTACCAGAAAAAAACAAACCAAAAACATTTATAAAGGCAGAAGATTATTATGCAGATCAGGCCTGGCCTGGGGATGCTAGGCATTTGTCTGATTTAGCATCCAGCCAGCTCTTCTGCTAAAGGTCATTGTTGACAAAGATTGTGGTGTTCCCTTGATGGGAGTGTAGACTGGTGCAACCACTATGGAAATTAGTGTGGAGATTCCTCAGAAACTAAACTAGAGGTTCCATTAGATCCACTTATTACCCTTTTTATCTTCCAGAAAGAATCAAAAGTATCATACTACAGAGATACATGCACATCCATGTTTGTAGCAACACAGTTTATAATAGCTAAATCTTGGAAACAGCCCAAATGCCTATAAACCAATGATAAGGAAGATGTAGTTTTTTTTTAATACAATGGAGTATTACCCATAAAGAAAGATAAACTTGGGCCAGGAATTTAGCTCAGTGGTTCCGCCACCTGCCTCGCAAGCACAAGGTCCCGAGTTCAATCCCTGGTACCAAAAAAAAAGAAGGATAAACTTGAGACATTTCTAAATAAATAGATGTACCTTGAGACCATGCTCTTAAGTGAAATAAATCAAACATATATGTACATAGCTCACTGTTTCTCTGGTGTGAGAAAGATAAAGTGTAAATAATGACCCAAATGTACAATAGTTATTGTGAAATAAGAAAAAAAAGTTCAAATGGAAAGGGGAATTAGGGATGGGAGAGGGGAAAGGAAGAAAGGGAAAAGAAAAAATGAGAAAAGAAGGAAAAACTGGAAACAAAGCTTTTGTAAATAAGGAGCGAGAGAGGTTGAAGGGAGGGGAGGGAAATAGGAAAAAAAGAAGAATCAAGATATATCTTGTACAGGTATAAATTCCCTATGATGAATGTGATCATTATGTATATCTAAAATGGACCAATTAATTTAAAAATTAAAATCAAAATCTCAAATATGACATCTGTAGGTATGGCAATTCTATTCACATCAGCCAAAATGTGGGGAAAATAGATTTTTTATTTTCTTTATTCACTGTAAAACTATTTATTGTAAAATAACCTCTATAATTGAAATGTAAAGAAATTTTCACTGTCTAGCCTTAAGAACACAGAGCTTATAGTAGTGACATAATTTTATTCTGATGTCTATTCTGTGAAATTGGTTTTTAGTTCAGTTCCAGATCAGGAGGAAAGGTATAGAGCTAAAGAATAATTAAGATAAATATATGATAAATACAAGTTGTTAAATTATGATTTGGTAGAAATTAAAATTCATGTTTGTTCTCTGAAAATATAAGAAAAATTTAACCAAATGACCTGAAAAGGTTGGTGAACTATTATTCCTGGACCAGAGTCAGCACTAGCTACAAAGCAATACTGTTCTTTTGGGATTGATATGTGTAGTACCTATCTACCTATCTATGTGTCTGTCTATCGGCCTGTGTATCTATATGCTATCAATCTATCTATGATCTATAGTATATTATAATTATGAATAAATTTTGTATGTAATCTGACTCTTTCAAGGAATCCAGAATCCTCAAATAAAATACTTGAAGCTTTATAGTAACGTGAACATTTAAACTGCAGTTTATGTGAGTGTGAATTAATGGGTATATGAATGCATTTTGGAAGCACATGTATATTAAGTAGATTATCTCACTATGTGTTCCAAAACATTAAATTGTAGACCATAAATATAACTAATTTTTATTTGTCAATTATTCCTTAATGAAGACAAAAATATTGACGTTGAAGAATTTGGAAGATACAGCAACTTAAAAAGAACAAAAAAATTTTAATTTCATTAACGTGCTACTCAAAGTCAGTTGTCAGTCTTGTACTGTACTGTCTCTATTCCTTTAATACACATGTAAATAGTCTTCTATCCAAGGAAGTTGGAAGTTGTGCTTTTATATTACATTAAACTAAAATCTGAAGGGTAGGCGGGGCCGTGATCTAGGCGAGACTCTCAAAGGCTGCTGGAGGGCGGAGAACAGGAGGGAGAGGCCCAGCAGCGAGGGAGGACCGAGTTTTCACTGCTCAGAGACCATTCCGATGCCCCCAGAGATTCTCTGAGCGTGGCAGCCTTTGGAGGGATGGCCACAGTGCAGGAGATCAGCTGTGCAGCGCGGACCGGAATCTCAACCCACATCTCGCGAGAACTCATTCTCCAAGAGGGTCTGGCGAGGACTGCTCCAGGAGTCCGGGTTGAAGCTGTGGAGCATGGGTTTTAAACCTGGGAATTGACTGGGCGTTTCCGTTGGCGGAGTCTCTCGACAGGAGCCATATACTAAAGACAATGTCTGGAAGCTTCTACTTTGTAATTATTGGCCACCATGATAATCCAGTTTTTGAAATGGAATTTTTGCCAGCTGGGAAAGCAGAATCCAAAGATGATCATCGTCATCTGAATCAGTTCATAGTTCACGCTGCTCTTGACCTTGTGGGTGAAAACATGTGGCTTTCAAACAACATGTACTTGAAAACTGTGGACAAATTCGAAGAGTGGTTTGTGTCAGCATTTGTCACTGCAGGCCATATGAGATTTATTATGCTTCATGATATAAGGCAAGAAGATGGAATAAAGAACTTCTTTACTGATGTCTATGATTTATATATAAAGTTTGCAATGAATCCATTTTATGAACCCAACTCTGCTATTCAGTCAAGTGCATTTGACAGAAAAGTTCAATTTCTTGGGAAGAAGCATCTTTTAAACTGAATGCAAAAAAATTTCAAAATAAACAATGTCACAATGGGATATACTCAGAAATGTGTACATTGTAAGTAACTTGATTAAATAGCCTAGAAAACTTGAAAGAGAAAATTCCTTTAATACACATGTAAATAGCCTTCTATCCAAGGAAGTTGGAAGTTGTGCTTTTATATTACATTAAACTAAAATCATATACAAAGGTTTTTTTCCTACTTAACTAGTTTTTAATAAAATTGTGATTAGTAAAACTGAAGACAATCCTGTTTGATCTAGCAAAGTTGTTTTACAAAACTTAATAACAAAAAATTCTTAATTACACTAGTGAGGAAACTTGGAGGGGAGCGGTGAAATGTGGAATACAACAGAATACAAGGAAATTATTGTTTAAAACTTGAATCAGTAACATTAATTATTTAGTGAATCCATCAGTGTTAGATGTTAATTAAAAGATGATAAAAACTTGTTCCTCAACAAATTTAAATCTTTCTACTTTGACAGAAACTAATAAAAGATTGTACGGTATTATAAGATGTTTAATGTGGCCATTAAAAATCTTAGTTCCCTCAGTGCCTGATTTTGACAGATTATCTCTCCAAGTAAGGAAATTTATTTAGTTTTGCCTATCAAGTCCCATATTTAACTTTTAACTTCTTCACTGATATTTTCTCTCCAAATGTAAACATAAAAACATTTCAAACTCAGCCTTGTTAAATTCAATTTGGTTACTAAAATGAATCAACAATATACTAGCTGTGTAACTGATTAGATATTTAGCTATTGGAGTTTACCAGAAAAAAAGACATTTTGTTTTATTTTATATCAAATTGCCTTCACAGCATCTTGATTCAGGTTAGTCAATGAATGATGACATTAAAAGACAAATTCTAAAACTTATTACTTAACAAAATAAATAAAACTTATTCCCTTATACTTATAAAGTATGGAAAAGATCTTAATGAAATTGTCACTTTTATATGTTATCCAGTGTTTTTTCAAAAAATTTTGGCATCTTCTTCCTTGTTATTCCATCTCTACAAAACATTCCATCTCTATAAAAGCAATAGTTTTTATATGATCCCAAACCCCTGTTTCTTCCATTGCTCATTTTTTGTGGAGTTACTTGGTGATTTTATTAAAAATGTATCAAACATTTGTCCATATATATTCATATTTGGAAGATATATTCCAATGTTTTAGAAATGAGTAGATAAGACTCTATTATACATGTCTGCTTAAACATATTTGGAAAAATACACTGACTATTCAGAATTGCAAAAATTCCACATATGTATTTGTTTTTTGAGCTAATTAAGAAAATTAGATGCAAATTTTTGGAATCTCCCTCAACTTATAAAATCAGACCACATTGATGATTAACTTTTCATATAAAACCCATTTTATGAAAGGGTTGCAGTATTAGCGGTGCACATTTAAACAGCTGCTTCCAGCCCACAATGAATGCTACTTCTTACATGATGTGATATCTTACTTTGGTGCTATAGGTGAATTTTTAATTTTCTAATAATATGTTTAGGGAATCATTTCAGATCCTCTGGAGGAATCTCAGAACTCTACAGAACATAATTGTAAGCTGGTTCAGGTGAAACTGCAAATCCTTTTGCATTTAAAGTACTAGTCCTTGTAAATGACAACATCTATATTTATAGATATGTTTCCTTTCAATATCTATTTTAAATGTGAATTTCATCTCTGAACTTTAAAATATATGTCAGTGTATAAGCAGCTAGTATAGTTGGATTTTAAGAAACAAATATAAGCATTCAACTTGGGATTTTCCAAACGATACTAAAAATTTTTGACACTATGATATCAAAACTAGAGCTCCTCCAAAGTTAATATGGCTTTAGATATTTCTACAGAGAATAATTATCTTCCTACCTACAATAAACTCGTATCCTGCTGTTATAAGGTCTCTGCACACACAGGAAAGCTCTACTCAGTTAATTTTGGCATTAACACATGAAAAACAGAAGAAAAAAGTCTTTTTTCAAGGGTAGGAGAAATCTATTGCTTATAAGATGAATTAAATTGTTAACAGGTTTTGTATGATTTTGTTTTGAATATCAGTATAAAATTTTAAAAATATAGGGCCAGGGATTTAGCTCAGTGGTTTTGCTGCCGGCTGCGCAAGCGCAAGGACCCGAGTTTGATCCCCGGTACCAAAAAAAAAAA